AACTCAACCTTGAAAAAATTCATTAAAATCAGCCAAAATTCTAATAAGGTCAGTGGTAAATAAAAAGAGCGTCAGTATCAGAAAGAAATGTGGAGGAGATATTTTACTTTAAATTGTCATCAAAGGCAAGAATATTATTTTGACTTAATAGTTTGAGTGTTCAGAGAATATCTGGCAAAAAAATATGCACACATTAATCAAGACTGATACAAGCTACTATTAATATTACAAAAATGTTTTATTCATCATACTTTTCTTCCCCCTTTTGTTCCCCACCCCCTTTTTTCTTCACACTAATAACATCCGGTATGGATTGATGCTGTTAAGTGTTTTCAGGTCGGTTCCAATTCATAGCAACCCTAGGCTAGAAATCTTTGCAGGTGCAGAAAGAATGTCCCAATTACAAATTTAAAAAATTTATTAGACACAATAAAGCTTAACATGGAAATGTGTGTCTGTCTTTTATCCTGGTATCTCTTCAAAGGAATATCATTTAGTCACATATATAAGGAGGCTTCAAAAAGTTTGTGGAAAAATTCTACTACCTTTTAATTCTATCTTTCCATGAACTTTTTGAAGCCCCCCCCCCATATGAGCCATGGCAGTTTTCCCTACTTAATCCATTTTAAAGATTCCATCTACTGTACATATTTACTTTTTCATTGTCTTGACCCAAAATTACTTAGCTGCAAATACAAAAAAGGGAAATCTTTAATCTAGAGATATCTGAAAACTATCCTATTCTACCTATCCCACTCTAACCTGTATACGATTCTTTTCTCAAAATGTCTCTCACAAGGTAATTTGCTTAGGTACCAAAAGACAGTATTTATTTGTACCAATTTTTAAAGACGTATGCCAATTTAAGGAAAGTAACCTCCCTAATATATCGAATTTTTAATAACTTATAATGCTAATATCAACTATACATTTGAAATTAACTTTCATATTATTATTTTCTAATTTTAGATAAAATTCTCACTGCTTTTCAGAATATTCAGTTTATCCCTTCTATTTCTGTCAATTGCATTCCTGCAATTTTATTATTATATGATGGGGCTTCAGAAAGCTTATGGAAAAATGGAATTAAAAGATTACAGAATTATTCCATGCATTTTATGAAGCCCCCCCTCCAGTACATTATCAGATTTACAAATACTGTCATCATAAAACAAAACTCCAGTCAGTTAAATCTTTCCAATCACAATTTCAATCCTTAAAAAAAGTACTTTTGACTACTCACAGATAAAATGATGATATACCCATTTGGAAACTGAAGGCTCCTCTCAAAGAAATAAGCCAGTTGCCCCATTCCTCCATTTAAAACCAGCTGCTTCTGGCTGTGGAAACGGCTAAGACATTGTCTTCTATCATGTGTGTATTAATCAAAAGCACTGGCAAGGAAGTAGTATTCCAGGGGAGTACTTCTGTTGTAGTTTGATGTGTAGGCATATTTTGAACATGAAAAAAATTGTTTATTACAAAGCTAGCTATTCCACTTCATTTTTAAATGAAAGCACTGATTACCAGGGAGCTTCAATATAGTGGAATTTTTCCATGAACTTTTTGAAGCCTCCTCAAATATCGAGAGGCAACAAGAAAGAAAGCCTTCCCATAGAGCCTGCATTCAGAATATGGACTTACAGTCTCCTAAACTGTGAGAGAACAAATTTCAGTTTGTTGAGGTATCCATTTGTGGTATTCATAACAGCACTGGATAACTAAGACACTATCAAAAGTGAACTATGTTATTGTAGTTGTTAAGTGCCGTTGAGTCAATTCCAGCCCATAGTGACCTGTATAGGGTTTCTGAGGCACGGATGGGGAGCTTAAACCTCCAACCTTGCGGTTCAAGCTGACTTTACAAGCCAGTGCATTAACCCACAGAGCCACACCAGTACTCCAAAAGTAGACTACAGATATATTGTAATCCTGATCTAAATCCCAACAACATTATTTAATGTAATAGAAAACTAATCTCCATCTTTATATGGAATGGAAGGAGCCCAAAATAGCTAAAGAAAAACTGAAGACCAACAACAACAAAGTAGGAGGCCTCACACTTTCTGATCTCAAAACTTATTCTATACAGTTATGGTTACCAAAACAGCCTGTATTAGTTCAATGACAGACACATATATCAATGGAAGAGAACTGAGAACTATAAGTAAATTCAAGCATAGAGAATGAAGGAACTCAAAAGCTCAAAGAAGACACTAGCCCATAGGGCTAATTAATGTTGTCGTTAAGTGTCATAATATCAGTCCAGACTCATAATGGCCCTGTACAGGCTTTCCAATGAATGGATGTTGGGCTTGAACCCACCAACCTTGTGATCTAATGTTTTATCCTACAGCATCACACCAGGACTAATAGCTCACATAAACTCATAGGAACTCTAAACAGGGTATCCAAGAGTGGCTGGTGGAGAACCTTTAAAGTGGGACATTCACACTTGAAAGGACAAGCAGACCAATCCAAAGTGGCTAGAGGAACAGAAGATATTTATTGGGGAAAAAAAGACCAGCAGGAAAACAAAACAAAACAAAACAAAACAACTGTTTGGTTGTTACAAGACCAAGCAAGTTGTTCACCTTGGAGCCATCAAAGCAAGTAAAATCAGCCCATCAAGGTAAACCCCATTCCAAGACTGAAACTCAAAGGGAACACATGACCAGGCTTATAAGCTTGCTGGTGACCACCCTGGCCTACTTGTAAGTGAAAGTGGGGGAAAGGCAGCAATGAAGACCTGGGACAGGTATGACCATGTTCCATAGACACTTGTCAATCTTGAGATGAGAGAGAAAAGAGGAAGAGCTGTCTAGTCTGCAGTTTCTGAACCCACGGACGCTGACCAAGCCTCTGGGGGCTAGAACTGAGAGTGAAGTGGCCAGCTGGCCTGAAGACGGTGGAAGTATGTGAGAGCCCCCAAACTTGCAGATAATACCTATTTGACATAGCTAGGATGTCTTGCTGATCAGAACTGGACCAGATAAAGATAAAGAAGTTTGATATAGGGAGCCAGCATAAGTTGCTACAATTTGGTGAACTGGACCTTTGCTTATGGATGTGGTGGTGGTAGTGGTTATGTGCCGTGGAGTCGGTTCCAACTCATAGTGACCCTGTAACAGGGTTTCCAAGACTGTAAATCTTTACTGGAGCAGAAAGCCTCATCTTTCTCCCACGGAACAGCTGGGCGTTTCGAACTGCTGACCGTGAGGTTCGCAGCCCGATTTGTAACCACTATGCTACCAGAGCACCTTGCTTATGGATGTAGTTGCTCAAAATTCCAACCAAAAGGGAAGGACTCTTCATATTAAGGATCAAGCTTGCCCCTTCGGTACACTGGGTTGATAGAGTCAGGCAACTTAGACATTAGCCACCGAAACTTGGGGGATGTAAAGGCACAAAGTGGTTGGGCTTACAATCTTTCATGAGTGTGCTTAGTTTCAGAACGAGGGGGTAAGATAGAATCCCCACTGTATAGTTTTTCTCTTTTCCAGATGGGTCTGGTGAAAGGGGATGGGGGAGGATGGGGACAGAAATTTTTGATTCAATAGTGAATAATAGTTATCAGGACTTATTGAGACTGTCACAAACTGTAAAGGTAAAAGATGTCAAATTAAAGGGGTGGGGGGTTGTAATCTTTCATTCCTGGAACAGAGGACCCTAGGACCATCAAGAGGGAAGAACATGAGTGGAATGTGGGGAAAGCGGTCACAGTAGAGACAGAGGCAGAGGCGATGGTATAGAGAGAGCAGCTGAGGACTCTAGGCCCATAGAATAAGAAAGGCTGTGTGCCTGTGGGCAGGAAGCTGGCTTGCAAAATGTGCCCTTGGGACATTTAAACAAATATATATTTTCTGTGTGTTTTGTGTACATCAAAAAAATCCCAAGAGAACAGAGGTAAATACTATTAACCAACGGTGCATGGAGGGGATTGTAATCACTGCAGTGAAACAATGAAACAAAATATGATTTGGTGAGTATAACACTGATGATCTGCCCAGTAAACTATCACTCAATTCACAGTAAAATCTTTAAAACAAAAAGTGGTTGGTGGTTTGAACTGCTGACCTTGTGATTATCAGTCCAATACCAGGGCCTATTACATACAATGTTATTATTATTAAGTGCCGAGTCAGTTCTAACACACAGTGATCTTGTATAGGGTTTCTCAGGAGCAACTGGTGGGTTTGAATCACCAACCTTGTGGTTAGCAGTGCAGTGCTCATCCTACAGCACCACATGAGGAATCCATATTACCTATAATAGTATTTGCTAAATCACCTATACAGAGTTCAGTAGATACTTAACTGAACGGCAAAACAACAACAAAAAGTGTCCTCCCATAGAAGAGTGGAAGTACCTATCTTTTCACATCAAAAAACAATAAACTGTCAAGAAATAAAACATTTAAATTAGCTTGGTTTTAAAGAGAGCACAAATTAATGTGTAATCCAACATTTCTCCAGATGAATTCTACCTATTTCTAACTACAACTGAATGAGCAGTCTTGTGTGTGTGCATGTGCATGAAGGTGGCACTCGATTCAATATTCAAGCACTCAACAGCAACCTCTCTCAGAGATTCATAATGCCTACTAGCCCTCTACAAGCTCCAAGAAGGTGTATAACAAGAAACTGTGAAATTTATTTAACCCAGTGTTTACATTTATTTGATCAAAAGACCTGGGTCTCTGGAGAGGAGACTGTTTTTCAGTTTATGAGTTCCATATAAAAGGTGAATTTCAAGGTTTTAAATGTTAGGTCATATGTAGAAAAATTTTAATTCAAAGTTAATATCTAAAAAACATGCTGAAGTGACAACTTGCTTAAGTTGCATACTTTAGCTCTACCTGGCTTATAGTAAGAACTGATCCTGATCTAAAATTCAACTGTGTCATTACCTCATTCTCTACCAACACTTTTCCTCACATACCCGTTTATGGTAAAGACAGACATAAACAAAAGCAACAACATTCTGCTGGGTTTACTTACCTAATATTTTCACAGCACAATGAGGACTTTCTAGGACAATTCCTTCTTCTGTATCAAATATAGGGTTATCTATTCCAGTCTTTGGAGGAATCTGAGCTAGTTTCTTTAGTCTCATGGAAGAATTAAGGTCAAGTTCTTGTTTTTTCCCTTCTTCCTCTCTCCTACGTCTCATGTCTTCCTGTTGTTGCCGAATGCGTTCCAACTGTGCACTTCGACGTACTGTCATCATCCTGGTGCCCAAATCTTCAGGGCAATCAACAGCCATCTCTCGGTGCTTCTGATGTTCCTCTGGTGATGTAAGATCAACATTTTTTACTTCGTTGTCTGATTCCTCTGTAACATGCCCATTCATATGGGATGTTGTCATGATTAGCTATAAAAACCTTTAAAACTTTTTATAAATCAATTTTTCCTATAAATCCAATTTTCTTGATTCTGTAGTAGTATAAAATCCATGTTACTTGCAAAAAAAAAAAAAAAAAACCAAAAAACCAACTTCTCAAATCACATAATAATGCTATGAAAAAATATCCATGAAGGAAATCTAAGGGGAAAGATGAGGGGAAAAACGTGTAAGAATTATAAACAAAAAAGCAAATTTTACATAGCTCATTTCTAATCTCAATAGTATAGAAAATACCTCATAAGTATATAATATCATTTTGCTACATGGGTTAAGTATGGTCTATTCATTTTAATGTTTTATCAAGGTGTTAAAAAAATTCACTTCCCAAGAATTTGAAACATACTGTTTAATTTTATAGTTAAGAAAAATGTTACATTGGAGAAGAAATTCACATAGGAAAGTTTAGCAAAACAAGAAAAAAAGCAAGCTTTAGGCATCAGTTTGGTAGGAAAATGGTTGCTTAAGAAATAAAAAGTGTTTCAATCATCTTTGTACACTTGCCTCAACACATTACTTTACACTCAACATGGGATAAATAACTTCGTAGGCAACTGCTAACAAACGATGAGGACCAATATACTGGGTATATACAGCAAGCCATGTTGGTGTTTCAACTTGAGATAATGACAGTATTTGGCAATTTATCTTTAGGAGTTTATAAAATAAAAAGATACAAACAAAAAACTTTCATTAGCAACTAAGACAGGATAAAACTACATTAAGTGAGCAAGCTCACCAGCTGCTCCTTGGAAACACTATACAAGGTCGCTATGAGTTGGAATTGACGCAACGGCACTTAACAACAAGTGAAAAAAGGACTACTTAAATTATCAAACTACATAATCAGTCACATTAAAAATGAAATGGAGTAAGTGATGTTACATTGTGGGGATTGCAATCAATGACATGAAACTAAATTTGTATGAGGTGCTGAATGGAAAAATTATTTGCCCTATAAATCTTCACCTAATTCACAATTTAAAAGTTTTTAAAAAAGAAAGAAACTGGTGTTAATATTAACTCTAAGAAGATTCATTTACAGAAAATGATGTTGTTGTTGTTGTTAAGTGCCTTCATGTCGGAGCCGACCCATAGCGACCCTGTACAGGGTTTCCGAGGGTGTAAATCCTTACGGGAGTAGAAAGCCTCATCTTTCTCCCGCGGAGCAGCTGGTAGTTTCAAACCACTGACCTTAAGGTTCGCAGCCCGATTCATAACCACTACGCTACCAGAGCTCCTTGATAGTATCTATTAATTAGTCCTTAGGTCATAAACCAGTCATATACTGTAAGGAGCTGTGGTAGCGCAGTGGTTACGAGTCAGGCTGCTAACCTCAAGGTCAGCAGTTAGAAACTACCAGCCATTCTGCGAGAGAAAGATGAGACGTTCTGCTCCCATGAAGATTTACACCCTCAGAAATTCTATTCAGGCTCACTATGAGTCTAAACCCACTCAACCACACATAACCACCATCACCACACACACAGTTTTTTCCCCTGATGAGCCTGGATAAGAGAAAGTAGTAGAAGATGCCAACAGGATTATATGATTCCATTGTGAGTGGTTGTTAACAGGGTTAACTGTGATAGTAATTGCAAAAACTTGAACTCTAACAAGTATCTCAGAAGTAGGAACCAGGGACCTCACTACAATCAAAGAAGAGCCAGGAGTGGAACACATCTGTTGAAGCAACCTCAACTGAGGGGACAGAAAGCTGTGATGCAGAAAATGTAGTTAGAGAAGTGGCAGCAGAACCACAAGCCAGAGCATGAGACAGAGTGGTAAGCCAGCACATAAAGCTGAGTGCCTCTATTCAGGAGGCTCATTTGCAGAGTGGTGTGTCCCCAGGCACTTAATTGGGAAGCTAGGTTTGCTCACTTATGGAGCTAGAACTGAGTGCCTTCCGGTTGAGGCTGGGTAATAGAAGGTCCTTGAGACATTTCAGCAACCCTAAAAGATTTTGAAGTATTTCTCTCAAGCAGGAGAGAAGCAGAGCTAAATAGAGGACTGCCTGCAGGCACAGATGAGAAGAGACAGTCTAGATTTGAAGAAGTGAACTCTATTTCTGACCCTGAACTGTACAGTGTTGTACTGTTGTTAAGTGCTGTCGAGTCAGTTCCGACCCTGTAAAGGGTTTTCAAGGAGCAGCTGGTGAGCTTGAACTGTCGACCTTGCTGTTCAAACTGACTTTGCAGTCCAGCTATTAACCTACAACGCCACATCTGGACTCCATTAAAAGTTCCTCAGCTCTGCTGTATAAGGCTTCTGAGAAGCAGCTTGTGGGTTTCAATGGCTGACTTTGTGGTGGAGTCCCTAATAAATGAACTCCCTAACTGTGAGTATGGTGTTTCAGTTCTGTGCAGCCATTATAATGAATTATCAAAGCCGGCTGAGTAGAGAGTGCTGTGGGAGGGGTAGTGTCAGATTTGGTAGAGAAGACAGAAGACTACAGTTATGTCTGACCTCAGCCTTATAGGAATAGGATTCTGATTCTCTTTCCCCTTGGTGAAGTCAGAATGGGGCAGATAATGCTGCCTGCCACCACCCCATTTTTACTAGGAGAGCTATTCTCTCTGTTGTTGTTGTTAAGTGCCGTCGAGTTGGTTCCAACCCACAGCGACTATATATAGGGTTTCCAAGGAGCAGCTGGTGAGCTTGAACCGCCGACCTTGCAGTTCAAATGGCTTTGCACTTTGGCGTATCAACCAACAATGCCACACCAGGACTCCTCTGAGGAACCTCAAATTTCTCATTTGAAAAATTTACTAATAAGATAGTTGTGAGTTTTAAATGATGATATATGCAAGGTTTAAAATGATAGATGGATGCATGCATGCATGCAAGTTATTGTTGTTAAGTGCCTATCGACTCGATTCCAATTCATAGTGACCTTGTATAGAGTTTCCAAGGAACAACTGGTGGGTTAAATATGCTGGACTGCAAAGTCACTTTGAACTACAAGGTCAGTGATTCAAGCTCTTCGGAATCCCTATACAGGGTCACTATGGGTCGGAATTGACTCAACGGCACTTAACAACAAACATCTGGTATGGCATAGTAGGAAACGCACAGGACAGCTGGTCACAAAGTCAACAGCTCAAACCCACAGCCACTACTTGGAACCCACGGTTCTATGAGCCAGAACCTATTCTATGGCACTTAACATTTCTTTTAAAGAAGTCCTTCGACATATTTTACACAGGCATATATTTTACTAAGATGACACTAGCTTTTCCTCAAGCCATCTCTCTGTTATAAACATGCAGATTGTTTACTTAAGTGTAAACCCACACATTAAATCTAATTAATCTTCTTTTGCTCAAGACTCCAAAAATATTTACAATAATAAACCTACTTCCTCCTTGATTTGAGCATCACTTCAGTAAATAGATTGGTTACAGAATGATGCCAACTAAGCAAAAGTAGTTTTTGTCAGATAATACTGCTAATGCCAGCCACTCTTCCCTCAAGCACATCTAGTCACAGTGAAAACAAGCATAGGAGACCTAGACTACAAGGAAAGCCACTAGGCCAACAACCAGGAAAATGGATGCATGCTACACAGACCAGCAGAATTACATTTTCACATGAACTTTAGAAGATTCTTCTTCCCTCCAAATTTAACTATCTAGTTTATGACTACAGTGATCTACCCATAAATACCTTATTTACCATTGGCATGGTTGCTTTTTCATTATAGTGAGAGCTATTAGGTGTATGTCGGGCAATTTTTAAGCTTCTTATGTTGACTGTTGTTGTTGTTGCTAAGTGCTGTCGAGTCGGTTCCGACCCACAGAAATCCTGTATAGGATTTCCGAGGAGCAGCTAGTGAGCTTGAACGACCAACCTTGCGGTTCAAACCAGTTTTGCAGTCTGGCACATTAACTCACAGTGCCACACCATACAAATTCAGCTAATTTAATGTTTTCATTACAAGTAAGCAGAAATTTATGTAGGAGTTACTGTGCTTAATTTTAAAAATCTAGGAGTATTACATACTCCCAAAAAGCTAAAATTCTCAACCACCTTCTCTATGAAAATATCCTGAGTATGAAAAAATCAAAGTTAAGAACAAATAATATATTTCTTACTTAATATGTACATTAATCTACAAAAAATTATGTATCTGAAAAGAAGATTCTCAACTTAAAAACTGTCTATATATATATATCTCCTTATTCACTATGCTAGTTAATGGAGGCAGGGGAATTATAGGTCACACAAGAGAGACTGAGTCAGGGTCAGAGCTCTTATCCTTAGACCATTATTATGCTTCTTTGTCTAGATCTAGCCTTCTCAAAAAAAATTTCTGCAACCTGATATTAATCCACTTAAAATTCCATTTGATCATCTCCCTTGGATTGTTCAGTGCCTACTGGGAAAGAATGTAAAGAAGATAAATGATTATTCTCACCTCACTGGATTATAAAGAGTCAGAGTTCTTTCTTGTATTACTTATTTGTATGCTCCCAATGATTAGCACAATAGAAGGCCTGTAAGAAATGCCCAATAAGTAACTGTTGAACTAATATTAAAATGTCATAAATTCTCACAGGATGCACAAAGTGGATTCCAAAACTTGCGTCTATAGTAAGGGCGACAGGCAACACTCAAAACAAAAGGATACATACTTCTTTTAGCTGTATTGCAAAGAATGATTAAAAATTACCCAGACTCAAACACAAAAAAATCTAGCTAGATAGAAAAAGGGTATTTTCCAGGCAGAGGGAAGCATATGACCAATAATAGGAAGTAGAAGTGTTAAGAGTGAGGCACTTTCAGAAAGCTGAATACAATGCACTAAAACTGGATGAGACAAGGGGAGAGAATGAATAACAAAACTAGAAAAGTAAGCAAAGGGCTAAACAGAGAAGCACATAAAAGCTAAAGACTGACCTATACCCTAAAGTATTAAGAATCACAAAAGGATTTTAAGTAAGCGGTGACATGATTATGCTCAC